GGACACAAGCCCTTGTGGGCCTGCCTGCAGCCCCATATGGGTCCGAGTGCCTGCCCCAGGGGACACGAGCCCTTGTGGGCCTGCCTGCAGCCCCACATGGGCCCGCACGGGCCGCTCACCGCGCCTAGCACGGGCACCACCCCTGCCCACAAGACCCATTTGTTCCGCCCTGGCACTGAAGGCACATTTGCTCCTTATTAGCAGCTCTCCGCTGTCCCAGATGTGCACACAAATCCAACTGAAGCCAATTGTCCTCCTTTAGGCTGTTATTGGATAAACAGCCGTTTGAGTCAGATCTAGAGACACCTAAAACTAGTGGAAGCATTTTCTTTGGCTTTGGGGCCTTTTGAATCACTCCTCCCAGTTGTCCCACATACCTTACAGTCCAGGAACACATACTAAGGTACATGAAGGCTTTTTACTTGCCCCAGGTCACGTTAATGTGACCAAGTGCAACTTTTTTTTTTTTTTTTAAATTAAACAAAAAGCTTTATTCTGACAGAAAACAAGCTGCAGCAAAAGCAAAAGATCCAACTGGTCTGCCTAAATGCAGAAGTTTGGAAAGACTATGCCCATACACATACACTTGCTATGCAAGCAAAGAAAGCCCGAAGCACTCGGACAAGCAGTCCACGACATCCAGTCCCTTCAGCTGGATTTCTGTCCTGGATCTGTGGGTAGAGCCCGGCTTCTATCATGTGGCTTAGAAGTGTCTCTGTCCCTGCACTCTAAGCTCCCTACATACATAGGGTAAGCAGAAAATGGAAATACCATTTACTTTGAAGCCTAACAGACTTCCCCTTTGATCCCAGCAGAATATCCTGAGCTGTGTAGAATTGTGTGTCATTCAAGAGTAGCTGATTTCACAGTATCAGTTTTCTTATCTCCCATGAGCGTGGAACCTGACGACCACATGGTCATCAGGTTCCAGGCACTGGCTTCCAAAAAGCCAGTTATAAGAGTAAATAAGACTTTGAAAAAGTGAAAGGAAGATGGATCACAAATTCTTAAAAAAACAGAATGACTGGTACCATTTATACTGAATGCACCTTAAAAATCTAGAGTTTCAAGTCCATATCCTCTCTTTGGGCCAGGTCACTGAGGCCAATAAATCAATCCCTGGTTTACCAACTCACTTCAAAAGGATTGTTCAAGAGAAAAGAAGGAATATTTAATCCATCTTTGCTTGCCAAGATTTCATTAAAAAGCTACCTTCCTAGGAGCATTTAACAGCTGCCATGCTCTTGACTCCTTCAGAAAAGCATTAATCAAGTGCAACCATCCTGCTTAATACCTAGAAAAGCAGAGCACGGCATGAAGCCTGAGTAGAAGGACACCACTACCAGCAGAAGCACATTTTATGATTTTCAAGTTCTTTATAGTACATAAAGACATCTAGCAAACAGCTCACCATATCTTGTTCTTATCAGTTGTCCAAGGCTCCTGCTGTGCTCTTTTAGTACAGATGTTAAATTCTGCCCTGGATCTGCCTCCGCCCTCCAAGGGAAAGCATGGGAAGGCTGCTCCATTACTGCATGTGTTGTGCTGGCCAGGCAGTTTCTGCTTTATCCGCAGATAGGGTTTTACAGAAATGAGACTGGAGCGAGGCAGGCAGAATATTGCAACCTACTAATGTGATGCCAGCCTTTGCTCTTTCCTCCCCTGCATTCTTACCCCCAGGAAAAAAAAGAATCATCAGCCAAAGAGTATAAAATGCTAAAATCTAACACACACCTTCATGCACTGAAAGCAGAGAAGGTGCTAGGAGAAACAGAGAGAATCCCACGTGGCAGAGGTTGCTCAGAGGCAGCTCCTCCACCGACCTGACTTTCAGGATTCTTTGTGTTCACCTGCCCTGCTCTTCCACATTGTGTCCCCAGCTTAATGGCAGCACCGTGTGGTCCCAAGCAAGCTTCCCCAGCTAAACTTCTTGCTGTCAGTCAAAAAGTGGCCAGATAAGCTTTGTATTTGCATACGTATGCACCGGCTTTTCCAAAGGCACATTCAGGGAAATGGCCTCGCTGAATACTGATGCTATCTGAGAATGACAACTATTTAAATGATTTTACAGCTTCACTACCTAAGTGAAGAGACCAGGTTTGTTTGCAGCTTTACAGCTATTATTAAGGCGTGTTGATCACTTCTGTCCTGTTCTCAGGCCTCAGAAAGGAGGCCATGCAGGTTGGCTGTAGAGTTCACTTCAGTAGTATAGAAGCCTATAGATCTGTAGAGACCATCTTCCCTAGCTCAGGTCAGGGACCTCATAAAGTGAAGTCACTAAAGCCTATGGTAATTTCTGTAATGTTTAAGTCCATACCATTCCTACATAGGCAGGAGCATCAGAAAGTTTGCAGAAACATGCACAGAAACCTGTGCATGAGCTTTACCATAGTTCCCTGCAGTTTCCCTCCACAGGGCAGGACGCTAGACTAAGCTCCCAGTCATCTCTAGGTGATGCAAGTGGGCAAGGTCCCACACACAGCATCTGAGCATCACGTCACAGAAAAGAGCCCCTCAAGGCCTTTCTGTCCCGAAATAGTAATGACACTTTCAGTATCTACTAGGCAGCTTTGCAGACAGCAAGCTTTACAAAAATAAAGTCACATCGGGAGCTCCGCTATCTGCAAATCGGCAAGCCAGATATTTCTAATCAATGTAAGAATGGAGAAGATGAATACACATTTTATGATGCCGGCTGCACCCTGCAACATCAGACGACCAGACCACCTGCTGTTTCAACAAACACTGCCTGTTGTGGGGTCAGGTCTCCGTCCATGGGCAGGAAACAGCAGCACACCCAAGCCTGGCAAATCCAGGCACTCCAAGCCTGGCAAATCCACCCAAGCCTGGCAAATCCAGGCACACCAAGCCTGGCAAATCCACCCAAGCCTGGCAAATCCAGGCACACCAAGCCTGGCAAATCCACCCTGGTGCACAGCACTGCGCTGCGCGGTGCTGCGGAGCCTCAGGTCTCCCGGGGCACGCAGGGCCTGCCATAAATCACCAAGGAGCAGCACTCCCTGCTCCTGCCAGGGCTGCCTGAAGCTCTGGGAACAGGAGAAACCAGATCTGTGGAGCTGCCCTCCTCCCTACCACCTTGCCTGCCCTCTCCTCTTCCCACCCCTTGGATGTTCATGGACTCTCCTGGAGCACAAGACAGAGCTGAGAATCAGCAGGAGTCCATCTCCCCAGCCCTCCAACCCTGCAGACAGGACTGAGGGGCAGTTTCTGTGATGTGCACTCCAAACTATAGACTAAAGGCACCTGGTTAGATTCTTACTAACCCCTCTCAGTGAAACCATTCCTTTCAGATGTCAGATTTGAAATCTTGTTGGTTTCCAAAATTCCCCTCCTCACACTTCAAAAAAAAAAAAATGCATTTTAAAGACAACCCAGGATAATCTAATATTATTATTTAATGCCTGATCATGATCAACAGGAGAAACTTTGCTGGACTACAGGCTGTCAAAGACAACTTGGCCTGATTTCTCAGCGGAGCTTGCTTCTAACTTAAATGACTCGGCTGGACAAAATTATGAATACAGCGTCCCTTCAAGAGCAGCCTTTTTTTGCAAAGTTCCTGTTTCTGATAGGGAGAGGAGAGAAGGCAACTTTCCCCTAGACAAAACTGCTCAGCATGCAACAGTCAGCCTGTCCGGGACACCCGGGTGATGCTTCAGGTGGCCAACCTGGACTTTACAATTGCTTCCAAAATCTCATCCAGCTTGCATCAATCTCATCAAAGCAGCAGGCAAACAAGCAAAAGATAGAACATTTATTAAAGGGGAGAGGAGAAAGAAAGGAAGAAATAAATGTCTATTTAACTCTGAAAACACAGGCTCAGTGTTTCTGGAAAAAAAAAAAAAAAAGAAAGAAGGATAAAAAAAGGAAAGACAAAACAAAACAGAAACCAGAAACCCTCCAGATAAAGAAGCCCCCAATCCCTAAAGGCCAGGCATCAGTAATGCCGCCCAGGAGCACTCAGTGCAAGCACCACAGGGCCACTTGCCCCTGCGCCAGGTGAGCACCACACCATGGGTGCACCTGCCCCCTAGACCACCTTGACTGCCCTTCCTTGGAGCGACCAAGGAGCTGTGAGGGTGGCAATGGCCTGGACACAACCCCTCAGGCATCCTTCATCCCACCAGCAAAGCAGGTGCAGTGCAAAGCCAGTGGTAGCACCTGCTGCGAGGAGAGTGAGGGGGGTTTTAGGGGCAAGACTCACCATTGAGACCATTGGGGATGCTCCGGTGATGGAGAGGTGCAGACAGGTCATCCATAGACCTCCGCATGGCCCCGGCCTTGCTGTCTCCAGGCTTGTGGTGGTGGAGATGGTGGTGATGGTGGTCAGGGCTTCCTGCACTGCCCGTGCTGGAGGTGCTGCTGCCGTCCCCCACGTCCCTGGTGCCCGACCCACCATTGAGGTTGGTGAGACTGGCCTGGCTGTCGATGGAGCTCCGCGAGCCGGCCCCGCTCCGCTCCTCATCCAGCATGAGCACCATCTCCTTCAGCTCCACATTCTCCCGCAGCAGGGTCTCCTGCCTGGCCTCCAGGTCCTTCAGCTTCTGCTGGTACATGCCCACCTCCTTCCACATCACGCTGGCCGTGTGCCTCCCGAACCGCTGCCATTCCCTCGACAGCTTCTTGCCTTTCTGCCTGTCATCATCCAGGAAGCAGCAGAGCTCCCGCAGTTCCTGGTTATCGTCCTGCAACTTCTGGTTCACCTCCTTCAGCCCACGGATCTCGTGCAGGTGGAGCTGCAGCCGCCGGTTCACATCCTTCATTAAGTTGCCATGTTCCACCATTAAGTTCATCTTTTCATTCTCCACTTTCCTCAGTCTTTTCACCAGCTCTTCCTTGCTCCACCTCAGCATCTCCTCTTCTGAAATTTTGCTCAGGTCTTCCTTAGACCCTTCTAAGGAATTTTTTGCCATCATCTGTGCCTAGATAGTGTTCGTTCTCAAACAGTAACAAATGCCTCAGGTTACTCGGGATATTTTGTCCACCTGATTTCCTGGGACTAAAATTTACTGCAGCATCTTGGGGAAAAAAATAAAAAAATTACAGTTCTCGGCAGATTGCTGGCAAGGCAGAAGAGCAACACCAGCCTGCAAGATCTGCTGCCCTCCAGGCCCCATAATAAAAAAAAGCAACGCAGGAAAAAATAAAAACACAATAAAAGGAGACACCTCCTCCCCCCGCAGGGGCGGCAGCGGCCCAGGAGCCGCTCGGAGCGGCAGCCCCGGCGATGCAGGGGCTCGGCCAACTCACCCCGCGCGCCCGCGGCTGCTCGGGGCCGCCCGCCCGGCGCTGCCCGCGACGTGCGCGCACCGAAGCGGCACCATGAACCCCCCCGGCCGCGGAGCGATGCGCGCTCCCGGAGCGATGCCCGGCCCTGGAGCGCTGCCTGGCCCCGGAGCGATGCGCGGTCGCGGAGCAATGCGGGGTCCCGGAGCGATGCGCGGCCGCGGATAGGAGCCCGGCCCCGGCGCGATGCGCGGCCCCGGCGCGATGCGCGGTCGCGGAGGGAAGCGCGGCCGCGGAGCGATGAGCGACCCCGGAGCGGTGCGCGGCCCCGGAGCGGTGCGCGCTCGCGGAGAGAAGCGCGGCCCCGGAGCGGTGCGCGCTCGCGGAGAGAAGCGCGGCCCCGGAGCGGTGCGCGGCCGAGCCGGGCGGAGCGCGCTGTCCGCGGCGTGCGGCGCTGCCGAGGAGCCGGAGCCTCTCCCGGAACGGCTCAGCCCTGGGCAAGGAGGGGAGGGCAGGGGCCGGTCCCACCTCCAGGCGCGGCGCGGCGGCGATGGGCGCTGCTGCCGGCCGAGCGCGGCCCTGGCCCCGGCCCCGGCCCTCCCCCGGGGCCGCCTGGCGCCTCCGAAGGGCAGGTACAACGGGAAGGGCCGCGGCCGCCGCCCGCCGCACCGCTTCCCTTTGAATCCACCTTTTCATCCGCCTCCAGCGGGCGAGCTCCGGGGCCCCGGAGCGGCGGCAGCGCCGCGGAGCCGCCGCCGTCTTTGTTCCCGCAGCCGCCCTGGTCTCCAGAGCCCGTCCTGTCCCCCGCTGCGGCCGAGGCACCGGCCGCGTATCCCTCCCCAGATGTGCCCTGTTCTTCACCCTGGGGGCTGCCCTGGGCAGAGGGGTGCCAGGGTCACTGCTGTGCATACAGGCGGAGAAAGGCATGGAAAGCTCACAGGGTTCACGTGGATTCCCCAGGGAATATGTAAGGAGGTCTCCCATACCCTGGTATCACATCCCTGACTTTTGGTCTAATGCACTTTTCCCTGGATCCTGCTGACTGCTTTTGACCAATATCACATTGTAAAAATGAAAGACGCGCCAGGACAGAGCAGTGCTGCCAGCTATTTCCTGCATGAGGATCCTTAAAAAGCTTAGGGAATCCCCATATTTACGTTCCCGAGGAACCTCAGTAAATGGTTTGTCTCTAGGGTTATCTCAGTGCAATCGCGGATTTCTGAGCGCACTGCAGAGCTGGTCAATACACCCTCTAGCAAAAAAAGCAATGTCACATCTGATGCCACAGCATGGGATGCAGAGCACATGGTCTATGCACAGAAAGGATAACAGGACCCAGAAGGGTGGAACTTTTTCCTGCTGGCGTTATCTTCCTAACCCTAAATGAGTAAAGCTGCCATTTCCTAGGTGCTTTTTTGTGTGAGTTTGTGGCCATTGATTCCTGAGCTCAGAAGTATCTATGGCAGACTAAGACAGTTGCCTGTTCCCCACGGAAAAGGAACAGCAGGACTTTTCCATTTCTGGTGAAGTCTATCCCCTCTGTGAGCATTGTTGGCCCTCCTACTCTCCCAAAGTAGTTTTTATTCCAGATCATAGGGGCAATAAGAGTTTGGGTTAGGGAGCAGCCACTGGTTCATGTAATGCAGGATATGCAGGTGATCTTGGCTAACATTCATTACAATGCAAGGAAGAATATTGTCCATAGCACATCTGCAAGTCAAGGTGGTTTCCTAGAAGGAGGAGATAGTCATGCCATCATATGAAAGAGTGGCGAGGCCTGCTCCCTTCAGGGAGATTTCCCTTGGAAGATACAGAAAGGGACACTCGGGATCAGGAGACTGGAGTCAGGCAAGAGGATGCAGAGCTGGCTCTCATGCCTTGGTGAAGATGGAGAAATGTATGGCTGCACATGGCGAGTTCACCGGGGACAGAAAAGAGCCCCTTGTTTGAAGAACAGAGTTGGCCAAATATGTTTAGGAGCACGAGCATCTTTAGAGTGGGCTGGAAGACAAGAATCCCAGATGGTTTTAAATCCAGGACTAAAATGGATTTAGGAAGTCCCTTCTTGTGCGAGTCCCCACTCACTACACAATTTGCATTTCAGCATTGCCTTACTCCCCAAACTGCCCAGACTTCACCAAAAAGCAGATATTGCTCCAACGCCTGCTTGGACTCCAAAAGCTTTGGTTCTGTCACAGCAAAAAGAAATGAGTCCAAGCTCTGGCTTTCTTTTTCCCAGTCACAAGCAGACGGGTGTGCTGTCAACGGTGCAGTGGTCAAAGACAGGAGGGACAGTTTGTAAAATGAGAGTCACCATAAGCCATGTTATGAGCTTGAGCATCAGCCAGTTCCTGACTCTGTCACAGGACACTATGACCACCATGGGGCTGCAGGAGAGCTGAGGTCCAACACATCCCACCTACTGTGGAGATGGGAGGGAGGACTTGCACATATTTGGCTTACATATGTCAACAGCGCAGAGTGCCAGGTCCTTCTCCTCCCTCCTTTCACTAAGGATCTCCAGAGAAAGTCTTGTCCCTCAGGAAGGGATTCCAAATGCCCTGGAAGGAGGTTGCTCCTGGAACAACTTGCCTCTGAGTCGTCCTGTCCTCCTAGCCCCGAGGCCAGTTGTACATCTTCTCCCATGCATATAATATCTGCTCCAGGTCCTTTCAAGTCAGTCTTGTCCATGTGAGCGGAGTTCACGGCCTGGTCCAGGTCCCCAGTGTGGGGAGCAGTCACAGGGCACCCACACGCCCCGTGGCCCTGCAGAGGGCATGTCCCAACCCCAGTGGTCCCTCTCCTTGCTTGCCACAGCGCTGGTGCTGCCGCCTCCAATGTACCAGCAAGGCACCCCTGAAGGCATGGAAACCAGCAGGGAACTTTGCATCGTCTTGTGCCTTCCAGAGGTAAATATTCCTGAAGGCTGCTTCTACTTCCCTCTGGCAGGTCTCAGGCATGAATATATATCATTTTCGCACAAAGTGACTCTGGTCACCAAGTGGCCACAACCAAATTGGTGCAAAATTAGACTGTACTGGGTCTCCTGCTCCTCATGCTGCTGACAGGCTGATGGGAGAAAGCACCTTTGCAAAGGGACGCGCTGCCGCCCAGGGTTGCATCACATCTACAAGGCATGCACACGTTTTCCAAGCCAATTCTTAGGCTTTAATCACATCCTTCCCTACAGGAAGCGGAAAGTGCTTCTCCCAGACCCTCCCATGCGGTGATTTGAGTAGCAGATCCCCAGTGGGTGCCTGGGGGAAAGGAGGAGCAGAGTCAGCCTGGGGGGACCCTTCAGACAACCCTTCCTCAGGAGCAGAAGGCAGCAGGAGAGGAGCAGCCTCCAGCCGCTGTCCCACCAACTCAGGTGCAGCTGCATCTTGGAGGTGCCTGGCCCAGGCACTGGCTGCCTCGTGGTTGCTTCATCGTTCTTTTCCCAAGAGAAGCTATTTTTATTTTTATCTATTTATTTATTTTCTCCCGCTGAAACTTTATGAAGTTTGAGCTCCGCTGACACCTCTGCAAGGAAGGAACCCGGCAGACAGGGGGGCTCTGGAAAGGAAGTGAGGAGATTATTAATATCCACAGAGGAAGTCCCTGTGGTGACTCAGACCTGCTTGCAGTACCGAGTGGCTATGTCTATACTTTAAAGGGCACAGATCCAGCCTGCCACTATCTGTTGGGGGATTTGCTGTCACTGTGGTGTCCCTGGGAGCTTTGAAGCCTGGTTACCTGCTGTGTTTGGGCATTCAGTGCTCTGGAGGTAGCACTGAAATTGCACGTAAAGATCTGCTCCTGGCGAGTACCTGGTGAGTGAGCAGAGAGGGCCAGGAGGAGCAGGTGTGAGGGAGTGTGGCCCCAATCCGATGGCCACCGTGCCTCACCTCTTCACTCTGCAACCCTCCCTTCCAGCTGGGTGTTGTGTTACAGTAGAGAGAAGCTTCTTCAGCTTGGCAAGGTGAGCAGGATGTGTAAAGCTTGGTAGGAGCAGAACGTGTCCGTGGCTCCAATTACACGTGTGCATAATGCAACTGAGCGTTGAGGGGGACTGTCAGAGAGCTTTGACATGCTTGGTGGAAAAGAGTAAGGCAGTGCAAAATTTTATGATCAAAAGCAAATCTTGTGTTTCAAGCAGATTTTTAATCAATACAAATAATACACAATATCAGAGTATTTTTGATGGGCTTCTGGTTTTAATATACAGCTAGCAAACACTGTTTCCCTGTGTTGTTTGGAGGGAATTAGGATTCTCCTGTGTCAGTTTAAGATGAACAGTAACAGAAGTTCATAGCATGCTGCAGACTCGGTCTGCTGCATGGCCATAGGGCCTTCTGCAGGCACTGAGTGAAAAGCACTTTTAATATGCATGTTATCTTAATCTTTCTGTTCCCGTGTAATGCAGCATCAAAGCCTGTCCCTTGCGGTGAACCAAATGGACACTTCCACCCTCTTCAGTCAGGAGAGAAATTTTAAAGCTTAAAAAGATTTTTTTTTTTTAATATACTGGACAAAATTCCACTTGATGATAACGTCTGAGCTCAGCAGGTGACACGAAGGATAAATTCGATCCTTGGTATTGTATAGTGATATATAACATCATTTAAGTCTTACTAAAGCATTCCCTCTACAGGGCTGCATTAGTACTACAGAAAGCCCTTCCACGGCTCACATCCTGCTGCTCCTTGGCCACCTGGGATGGGTGGCTCTTGCAAAACCCACCATCTTTGACGGGAAAGAGAAACCCCAGTGGGTTCTCACATGACTTTGCTTTTCCAAGGCACTGTAGGAAGGAATGAGCCCAAGTGCTGGAGTTACCAGATCACCCTGTGTCGCTCTACTCAACTTGGAGCCTGAGAAGGGAGGACCTTCTGTCCCCTGTTGCTCCATATAGTCCATGTCCCTGCTCAGA